CAATTATATACATATATATGTGTATGTATATGTGCACACACACACATATGCAAATATTCATGAACGTTGGCCCTCTTTTCTACTGTTTGATTGTTTTTGCACTGACAATGAAGCACAGGTTCTGAATCCTGAAAAAATAAATAAAGACTACTCAAAAGCCATGGGAATTAAAGGCAATCATGACTTGCTTCACATAGTCAAGGCATAGCATTTTTATTTCCGTTTAACTTTTAATTCATACTACATACATAGCTTTTAGTAATTGTAAAAAAGGTTTTGACTAATCTACATCTCATCAACATCAATATCTTATTCATATTTCAAAACAGAATGTTTGTTTTCTACTTTGTTTTGTTGTTTCCGTTGCTTAGTAATTCTGCAACATTGCATGATATGCATTCAGCAATCAGCATGGGATTGCAAATATCAAAGGTGATATCATTATTTTAATATCCTTATTCACTCATTATAATGGTTACCATTAGTACATTTTTCTCCTCGGTTTGAAAAAAAGCCTGTAAAGGACCATAAATCAGTCTTAATATTTCAATTGCCAATGAATGATGTGAGACAGGAAGGAAGAGCGAGACAGAGAGCAATATAAAACACTATTTAATGGTCAAGATAACAATTCAATTTAATAGCTGTGCCTTAGCTTATTATTATTGCTATTCCAGATGCATTTTTCATTTGGTTGCAAATTAAACTTCTAATTTATGATTTTTGTTAACATTTCTCTTCTTTGAAACTGCAGCATCCCTACTGTGGAGTCATTGAAAGCTAATGTTAACCTGAGCGTGCACGGAGAGTCCAATAATCTTCAAAGTTATTTGGTTGCCACGCTTGACTCTGAAATATGAATGAAAGAAAAAAGTCTTAATAAAATGTGATTGATAAAATATACATTTCTACTTCTTATTTCAGTAAGGAAATGTAGTAATTTTTATAAACCAACAATCCAAATGGGTACGGTCATAAAAAAATTTTATTACACAAATAGTTTTAAAACTCATGCATTCTTTGTCAACCCCACAAATTACCATAGTTATTTGTTAATGCATTTAATATTCTTGTTGGATGGCAGATACAAAACCAGAGAAAAGTCACTTACATTTAACTGATGTAAAGACTCAGCAGGCCAAAGATATGGAATAAAGGAGGAAAAGCGATTGTGAATGAAGAAATGTACTGCTTGGACCACTGCCTATGTAACATTCCTTGTATGCTTCAGCAAACTGTGTTGATTTTCTTTAATGAACTATGTTTGCTCTATGAGGTCACTGGGTTAATTAGGAATGCATTGAGAGCGTATAGATTGTTAGGAAAGAAAGAGCTGAGGAATGCAGCACCAATTCCATTGTATGTCAGCTTTTTTGTCTGTTGGATATTATAATAATTCTGTGTAGTCAATTAGTTTAAATTGTGATATATGGTTTAGACAAAAAAATCAGGGTATTTTTTTTTAGATGTTTTTGACATTTATATGATTCATAATTTGCTTATCAGGGAACTTTTGGGTTACACCTCCCCCAGCTGTCAATCAGGCAAGTCCTGTTACTTCCTGTGTTTTTTTTTTTAACACAGTGGAGCTAAACACAAGAGGCAATCAATGGCCCATAGCCCCTTCCTTGCAACTACTTCTTGATGAACAAACTGTGACATATGTCATTAAGAAGTCTATGATTGGATAACCACAGAAAGTCTGTGCCAGAGAAGAAGTATAGATCTAGTATCTTGCAGTACTGGCAGATATTAGATCTACAACTATTGCATGCCAAAATCTCACATAGCACAAAGAAAACATGAAAAAACAAACAAAAAAAAACAAACGAATTCAATGTCCATAGACCTGAACACAATGCTATTACCACATGCATATCAGTTTTAGTTTCCATATTGGATTTGAACACTTTTTGTTCCGTATTATTTTTTCTTACAAATTTCATCATTATTTTCAAGCAGCGCTAGCTGTTACATATCCAGAAATTGTCACTAATATCAAAGTATACAATCATAAACTGATCAAACCTATAGCAGTTTTGTTATGTGAACTACAAATGTGAAGTATGAGTATTTCTCTAACTTTGCAAGTTTAACCAACCCAAAAAATACAAGTAACCACTCTTTATTTAACTTTGCAAGCATAACCAATCCAAAAAGTAGAAGTAACTGCTCTTTTACCTTTTCTAATGTGGGAAAAACTGAAAATGAAGTTTGTTACAATTTATTTTAATCATACTTATAAGTTATGAGTAAAAAGATTATATTTTTTAAGAATGATAAAATAAAATATTATAGCTAAAATCATAGCCATAGTCACTCTATAGTCAAAGATGAGTGACCGTTAAAGATTATGGTGAAGGCACCCCAATTTCATTCGCGACTTTGCAATAAAAACTCAAAGATACATTTGGTAAAATCTTTTCAGTAGATATTTTCTAGACCTAGGCATTAAAAGTGCAGCAATCTCCATGACAACCTATAGAATAAAGAATGGTTATGCCCTAGAACCTTTCAAAAGAATAACTTTTATTCAGCCGCTATAGTCTCTAATGTAAAATATATCTAGAAATGAAAGAGCAGCAGGTGTTCTGCTCATACATTATACACCCGAACATATGTTACGTAAATAAGCATACCTAATTGGGATGTAATAAATCATTATTTAGTATAGTTTGGTATGGCAATTGCTGTCAAAGAAAATTAAGACACATTATTATCATTATTATTATTTTAAATAGCTTTACGTTATATGCACAGAGTTTTTGAAATAATACCGTCTTTGATATAATGGAGGAATAAAGAAACTGATACTTTAATATTAAGAAGATCACATAAAAAATGACACACAGCTCATAGGCAATGCATTGTTTTGGGAAATTAGATTAAAGAGATTTGTTGTGCAGCAAATATCTTTCTTCTTTCCAGCGATTCTTGTTGAAGTTGTTATGGCAACCTGACGATGCATTGATTTTTATTTTTTTTCTTCTAATGGAGTTTTGGGAAGTGGTAACAGCAGGGAAATTGCAGGGCATCAAACTAATGAGAGTTTTATGGAACTCTATGAAATGGTCTATACTTTTAGTATTTATAGAAAATGTTTAGTTTTTTTTCATTTTCAAAATGGAAATATAGTGGAATGAAAACAGTACACACATTATATAGAACAGCGATGACTAACCTTGTCACTGCAGACATTCTATGGACTATATGTTCAGTGAGCCTTTACTGATAGTAAGCGCTACGGAATCTGTAAATGGCAATAATAATAATAATAGAGGCTGCAGGACAAAATTTACACAACAAAAATTACATTATAATAATTGTGCTCAGGAAACCTTTGCATGTTTTATATAATGTTTTGAAATAGAACACACACATCTCTCTCTCTATATATATATATATACATATATATACATACATATATATATATACATACACATACATATACACACACACACACACACACACACACACACATATATAATTAATTATATATACAAAGCAAAAACCAAAAAGGTTATGGTGGGGAAAAAATTGTGATTGAAAACCCCTTCCACCTGAAGTCTGTGGATAGTTAATACAATGTTAAACAAACATCTGCACACCAGTCAAGCCCTAAGACTGCTTCGCAAGTACTGTCAAGCCTCAATAGTAAGCCAGTAACCAACCTTGTGCTGATGATTTGCATTAACAATGAAACAGCTGTCCGTGTGTGGTTCACTGGCTTTGCATATTTTCCTAAGTTGTGTTTCAAAGCTGTTGTATACCGCAAACACAGACTCAAAGGATTCCCTGTTTAAAATGGAATGGGGCAAAAATTGAATTTTTTGTTGAACTAATTTGCATATGCCCACCCAGAATCCTTTGTGGTAGTAACAGCACTGAAGAGTTGTGATTTCTGTGGGAAAAGCAAGTCTTATGGCTTGACTGGTGTGCAGATTTTTTTTAACATTGTATTGACTATCCACAGACTTCAGGTGGAAGGGGTTTTCAATCACAATTTTTCCCCAACATATTTTTTAGATTTTTGCTGTCAAGCCTCAATAGCAAGCCAGTAACCAACCTCATGCTGATAATTTGCATTAATTTGTATGTATATATACATACATATAAACACACACACCATAAAAAGGTATAGTAACAGTCAAAAGACAAAAGTGTAAAGGTATTTTACATTTTTTTTAGAATGAACATGTTTGATTGTAAGACCATAATAGAGCAGAAATAGTAAAAGAAGTTTTAATAAGAAAAAAGTCAAGGTTAAGAGTTGCTGAAAATCAAGACATATAACCTACCAAGCCAAATTAAGGTTATCAGAAGAGAGACAAAATGATAATCAATCCAAGTCAAAATCAACAGCAGAGAAAACACAACACTGTTTCAGGTCACATTAGAACCATGCGAGGGCATGTTTCCAAAATACATCAGTCTTGCAGCTCCAAAACATCCTGGTGTTTTTGTGCATATGCAGCTGTGTGTCCATGGAATAACACATGGTGAGTTGACCCTGCAATGGTGCAAGTAGAAATGGAAGCCATTGAAGAAATGATAGGTAACTGGAAAATAAAGTTATTTGATAAAATCTAAGTGTACCTCAGGATAAATAAAAAATGATTAACCTTCTCCAGGACCCCAAATAACACAATTTTAATAATTATAATGGTGTCTGAAAAAAAATCTCAATGTCTCCAAGGTGGGGCTATTAATCAGCCCCCTTATCTCTAACCCCAAAGATGTGGATATACAAGTTATGAAAAATGTATCTACTAATGTAACTCCTTGCTTCAGCCCCATATTAAAGGTAGCTTGGTGCTATATTTCAAAAAAATTCTCAGTTGAATTAGAAATATTTTTTGCAATTGGATTATTATTATTATTATTATTGCCATTTATATAGCGCCAACAGATTCCGTAGCGCTTTACAATATTATGAGAGGGGATTTAACTATAAATAGGACAATTACAAATAAACTTACAGGAACAATAGGTTGAAGAGGACCCTGCTCAATCGAGCTTACAATCTATAGGAGGTGGGGTGTAAAACACCCCACCTCCTATAGAATGTAAGCTCGATTGAGCATCTTTCCTTTATGTTAAGTCAAATCCATAACTTGTTTTTACTGTTAATAAATGGTTTAGTCTCTCAGGGAAGCCATAATGGGGATGAAGTCAGACTATGCAATGGAACCCCCCATGGGCCTTGCATTGGAATGAGGTCAAGTTTAGGAGATAAAAAAAAAAACTTAAATTGACCTATCTGCTGCCCTCCTGGAACTCATCGTAAACTGGCTCTCTTTAATCTCCAACTGGAAGTCTTCCCATTTTTCAAAATGTAATCTTACTAAAACTGAATCCCTCATCTTCCCCCACAAACAGTCCCCCTCCATCTATCTCCTTGCATGTCAATGTGACACCTATTAAACCAACTCCTTAAGCTTGCTGTCTAGTAGGTTTTACTTTTTCTCATCACATCCAGTTGTATCTTGAAATCCTGTAAGTTCCACCTTAAAAATATTGTCAAGATGCAACTAAGGCACTTTCTTACTTTCTGACTAGAGCAACTCACTAAATACCAGATCTCTCCTCTTCAGTCACCAATGAATGCTGCAATTAGGCATCCTCTACCCTTCAGGAGTCAATTCAAACTGCCAACACAAACTTACCAAGCCCTAAATAACTCCAACTCAATAACTCCACTTCTAACTACATTTCCTCTTTATTCAACAAATACACCCTTCTTGCTCCCTTCACTCTGAGAGTGACCTCCTCCATAGCCCACCTCACTCTCTCATTCCATTGCTCGCTTGCTCTACACAACACTTTTACTGGTTTATTTCAACACAGGCATCCTCTCCATCAGTCCCTACTTCCCTCTGACATGCTGTTATTCCTATTGTGAGCCTTCTTCACCTCTTATCCCTGTTAATATTTTGTGTTCCAATTGCTTGTTACCTGTTATCCACATTCTATAATTGTAAAGTGTTGTGGAAAATGTTGGCGCAATATAAATAATCATAAAAATGATAATCTTATGAAAAATATACCTGTTATTAAAAAGGTTAACAAATATGTAAAGAGCATTAGACTTTTTTAAAACTTATTATGAATGTTGTGTTACTTCAGGTAAAGACTACATACAGCAGTGCAATCATTTTTTCAAAATACCAGCATTCAGAAATAGAGAAATATTTTGGATGCACTATAGTATTTACGTCATATAATTGCCTTTTTAAACTAAAAAATTTACCAGCAACAATTTAATGCGTAGTAAAATTATACTGTAATTTTGGTTATTGTAACTTGAAGTGAATGCGTCATCTAAAGAAAAAAACACCCCTTGTAGTAAGCAAACCAAGATTTAACATATTTGAAAGATTGAAAATGTTTGCCCGTCAATTCTACTGTAGAAATGTGTCATCTGACATTAAAGCAATGCTAAGCCTCTGTTTGTACTAGACAGTAATACACACTAACCTTTTCAGATTTCCAACTCACAAATCTAATGAAATTAACTGATATTTTGCATGCCATTCAATGGGTTAGGAGCTGGGTCACAACTATCTCTGTGTGTGCAGTCACGGAACTACCAGTAATGAGGCCAGTAAGACTGTGTGAGGGCCCCAGGAGTCAGGGGACCACTGATGCCTGTTGCTCCCAAGGGCCACAATGGGCTCTTCCCGAAGGCACAGACACCACCGAAAATAGGCACTTAAATAGGGAGAGAGCTGCAGTGAGACTCAATGGGGCCTGGGGAGACAGTGCGCTCAGCAGCAGGAGAACTGGACTCACTTGAGGGTGAGTCAAGTGTATATGCCTGAGTGATGTGCGTATATGAGTCAGTGTTTGTGGATGTGTATATGTGCATCTGTGCAAGTGAGTGTGTATATGTGTGTCAGTGTGTGTATATGTGTTTGCATGTGTATGTATATCTGTGTGTATGCATCACTGTATCTGTGTGTCAGTGTATATAGAGTTTATCTGTGTGTGTATGTTTCTGCTTGCATCTCTGTGTGTCAGGCAATGTGTGTGTATCTTTGTATGGCAATGTGCATCTGTATGTGTGGGGCAATGGAAGTGCACATGTAAACATGCACCAACACACAAACACCAACATCACACACAAACATAACCCTGCATTTAAACACTGATCCTACACAGATGCACCCCTGCATTTGAATGCTGACAAAATAAACAAATGCACCTATGCATCATGACACAATGTAATATGTCATGTGTTGTTATTCATCTGAGGTTCTATTTGTCTCATTTTAAGACCTGCTAAGGAACAGACGACTGTTATGTCCTGATAGGTAAGACCACAGAATTCAAATATAGTGTATTTTCTTTTCCCCATGACTATATATATATATATATATATATAGACAGGGTGGTAAAGTAGCAGAATTGGAAAGTGAAAGTGAAGAGGACAATGGACTCAATAATTGACCCAATGTTGAGAGAGTAAGATTTAAGTGGATTTCAGAAATTACAGTTAACCTTGGAGTCCTTAGGCAATTCTGAAGAGGTGTGTTTTAAGCAGTTCTTAAAGATTTGAAGACTAGGGAAGAGTTTGATGGAGGAAGGCAGGCTATTTTGTTAGATATCCACAACATTAAAACCATCTGCTTAATACCGTATAGTTACCGCAAAGATGCGCTGAGGCAAGGACCTCCACCTTTACCTCTTTATGTGTCCTGTGGTATCTGGCATTAGCAGCAGATAATTTAAGTCCTGCAAGTTGCAAAGTGGAGCCTCCATGGATCAAATTTGTTGTACCAGCATATCCCACTGATACTCAATCAGATTAAGATCTGGGGAATTTGGTGGCTATATATAATCCATTAAGGAAAAATTAGGGGAATATCCACTAACCAATAGCCCTTCTCAACACAAGGGGTCCAAAGAAAAGGTGAAAATTACTACCTTTGCCCTATTTCTCTCAGCACCGCGCTAAGCTAGAGCCTACCTGAACCAAATCATCCCTGAATCTACCAAAAAACACAAAACAAAAAAGTGCACATGATGCTATCCAAGTGAAAGCAAAAAATCAGTGATAAAAGAAACGCCCGGCGCACTTTTCGTCATGCTCACACGCCGTCATCAGGGGAATATTTGTTTTTAGTGTTAATAATAAAACTTTTGCTAGCACACCTATGTTTTTTATATTTCTGGCCTGGGTAGCTGATTATATTTCTATTTATTCTTTTAGATAATATTTCTCACTCCTCTTTTCTTTATCATGTATTAACATGTATATATGTAAATGTAGCTATTTGTAACAGACATACAGACCCACACAGGTTTGTGCTTACATACATTATTATTACTTGTTTTCAACAACAAAAAAACGTGGAATGATTAAGTGTTTTAATCACCAAATGCTGAATTGCAAATTTAAGGCAAAAATAGCCAAGACACTATAGCTTAGATGGAGAATTCTTCCAAACATGCTCTCTGCACCTGAATTTACAGTCCTATTTCTAATGCATTAGATGTGCACAATTTTTACATTTGTATTTTTTTGCAGTGTTTTTAAAAAAATAATAATAATAAAGTAAACATTTTACTTTATCTGTCGGTTCCATGCATACTGCTTACCATAAAATATTACAACCATCGGCAGACAACAAATGAATAATTATAGTTACTCCTGCAATTTCACTGCTGCTAGGTTAATTCTCTGTTATCATCACTTCCGTTCTCAGCCTTCCCCTGAAACTCTGCACATTAAAGGATGTCTTTTATTTTGCTTTAATATACTTATTAGCGCATGTTTGCACTTCCAGCAGGTTACAGCAGCTTGAACTCCATTATTCTTTTTTATGAGTAAGTGGGGATTCTAATGCTGGTAGCATGACTTTGTTACCTAATGGTATATGATGGATGAGCAAAAACCCAGCCATACAGCATGGGAAGGAGTTGATTAGCTCGTTCAATCCATATTACTGCTAACACTTAGAATAAACAGGTGAAGCTTGTGTAATAACGGTTACATACTTTGAGGCTGATTTAGAGTGATATTCAGTGAAGAGCAAATTGTGGCATGCAGGTGTATAAATTCCTATTGTGCCCCTGGAGAAACTCTTACATCAAGGGGTTAAACTGTTCTTGAATGGTTAAACCCTAAAGTTGCCTCCAGTGAAGATGTCCACCCCGTTGGCATCCGGCTTCAGAATTTTCAGATTCTGCATAGGATGTGCGGAGTGCCGCGAGGCAAGGGCAGCGCTAATTGGTTGAGAATGTTCATTTCCAAGTAAGTTCAGTTAATGCGGAGTCACTGATTGGCTGAGAGCATTTGTAAATTCAGAAGGCATATTCCACCTCTGGGGGAATGTACATCGATGCTGGAGGCAAGTTTTGGGTCAAACAATTTAAACCATTGTGATTAAAGTGCCTCCGAGGTGCTCTTGGCACATTAGCAACTTAATTTAGAAGTAATTATTTTTGTGCCTGTAGTGTCTCTTTAAGTATCATGTTTTGTGTCAACTAAAATTGTGACATGCTATATAAAGCTATGGTAAGCTAAAATTCCTATCAGACTAATCCAACCATGGGATAAGTTTGATTGCAATTATATTCCACAGAGCTGTTTAGTATGGGATTGACTTACATCAAATATATTTTTTAATTTCCAGCAACCTAAACCACAATTGCACTGAGCGTGATAAAAGTCATAGTCATCAGGGGAAGAACTTTATGTACTTTATTTGATGGGACATACATTCCCAAAACAGCAGCTTGTATTTTTTTCCCTCTTATAATATGCAAGCGTGTGCATGCGGCAGGTGCTAGATGGGTAAATGGTTGTAACAAAGCAAAGTAGGAGAAAATCACACTGTCTCTCTTTTATGTAGCTGCAACTAATTTATTAAAATTGTTCAGTCATGTTTTAGTCATAAAGATACAAACTTTATGAAACACTCATGTAGACTGCATTGGAATTTAATTGAAATGAAATCCAAAGATACAATATTGCAAAAAAGGAACTACTATTTTTTTTTTCTAACTCAGCCAGACTCAGACTGTCCATCTGGCAAACCAGGCAAATACCTGATGGGTGGAGATGGCCATGGGCTGAGGCTG